TTTGAAAGTCTAATGCATACGCAAACTGTTGAAATCGAGCTTACAATTTATAAGCATTATGGTTATTCAAAGTCCAAAACAGAATACACATTGTAAATTTCTGTTTTGAGATGAATGAAATGGGTTGTGTATTATCCTGCATCGCATATTATCACGTGAATAACGCAGCAAGACAATAAGTTGGGTAGAAATTGAATTCAACATGAATAAATTTAGTCTTTACTATGCATATCATCCCTATAGATTCAAGTCCCAAAGTCTGGCCAAAACCTGACCCATCTCCACCTCGCACAAATCACATTTAAACGTTATTGATTCACCGGGGTCATATTTTAAGAATCCACGTTTGATGTAAGAACATCCGAAACCTGAAATGCGACCAAGTTAGCATCGCACGAGCAGTCTTTTGCTTGTTCTTCAAAACCATTCTCGAAGACTCGAACTTGGGTAAAAAAAAAAATGATCTTGTAATTTTGATATAACCGACGGGCTAGCTGATGATGGCATTCATCGATTAAATTACAAATTCGTTGTATGATTTGTAGCATTTTTTTTCTCAATCAGAATCTCTCTCTTGTTTGTTCTTCCCAAAACAAGATCTTTGCTTCTCTGTAACTTGTCATATTTCTTATATAATTTAAATGTTTATTAAAAATACCGTTACTCACTCGATTAATTGACCATCAGGATCATAACCAGTCATAAACGTGCGAACACCTGGATCGAGTGAGATTACCTTTCCCGGAACATCATCTTAGTTATTGATGATATCCAAAGGAACGGAGTATACAAGTAAAAATGTCCCCAAATGATTTATAGCTATGTTAACCGTATTTTTAATTGTTTTCCCTCTGTTCCTATTTCAATCCCTAGTAAGACTCAAGATGATTTGTGTTCAATCTTTCTTTGATCGGTACTTCATTTGAAAATTGTTTCCATGCAACTCTTATTTGTTTTGCATGCGGTTATCGATTATCGAATCGGGGTCTTTTTTAACCGGAGTTCTTCAGTTGTAAAGCACTCATCATTCAGGTGGTGCTTTTGTATGATGTTCATGTCGCAGATTTCATATCCTACACCATCTTAAGTAAGAACCTTGTTATACGTCCATCCCACATTTTCCATTTATTTCTTAGCTTTTCTCTTTCTTCAGGTGTTGGGTAAATCTATATCTTTGTGTTTCAATCTCTCTTTGTCGTTTTCGGTTTTCAATCTCTCTTTATCGTTTTTGGTTTTCAGTTGATCCGAGCCTATTGTGTTTGCCGTGAAGATAGTAACTATTGATAGTAGGTCTTTGGCAAACTTACCTATCAACGTCGACGTCCGAACCAAGCACCACGATCTTTTTACTGTTCTTGCCAAGAATCCATTTGGCAAGCTCATACGCAAATCTGCAGAGTCGATCTTTCCTGATAACCATAACATTCTCGATATCTCCTTGGTACGATCATTCTAAAATGGATATGGAGCTCTTGCGTTTCCAGTTGAGATCTGACCCAATGTTTCTGATAAGTTCAATGGTCTGTACATTTTGCCTGAGGTATTCACATTGTCTGTCAAGATTCTCTTTCTGTTTCTCTGTGCTGACACTTGCGTAATGAATCTTTTTCTTTTCATTTATTCTTTCTTGATAAAATTTCATATATCTTTTTGATCTCTTGTGCTTCACGATGCTTTGTTGTTGACATTATCTTGCTCAAACATACGAAAACGGGACTTATTTATACATTATAGAATCATTAACAATGATAATAATGATAATTCAACATTTAATATAAAATAATTAGTAAATAACTAGCAAATTAATAGACGTAATTACTAAAATTACATACCGTATCGGTATTATATAATTTTCTCAGACTTTTTTTTCAAAAAAAAAAAAAAAAAAAATCTTCATCTAATATTCGTAATTAGGATCGCTGGCCACGTGTAGATGATACGACTTAATTTTTGGGGGAGTGTTACCAGCAGGATTACTGCAGGGATTACAGGATTCATCACTAAACAAGTCTACTGTAGCATAAATTAATTTGAATTCCGCCCCAACTAAAACAAACCTAGAGGAATAAGCCATAAGTATTTAGTATCTGATTTTCCATCCAGTGCCACACGCAATAAGTTATTTCCCTTCTGCCCCATTTGATCTCCTCAATTTTTTTGTTTGTATTGTCAGATCGTTATTACAATAAACCTGACTTATTCACCCTGCTTTATAAAGGTCGAACCGATTATATAAATAATACAAACACTCAGTTTTTAGAAAAAAAAAATAATTTTTTTTCTTTCTCGTTCCTCGGAAAAAGACTTTGATCGATATTATAGGTGGTACAATTTCATGATTGTTTTGCCTTAAAAATACCTTTGCTTCTTTTCGATGTCCGCTTTTACCTCACCCTCTCAACCGGTCAAGGTTGAACCTAGGAAGAAAACCAAAAAAAAATGGCACATACGAGATGACCCTATTACATGGCAGAATTGGTATAAACACCTCAACTGGCTTCACACTCCAGTTCTAGTGTCGACACCGTGTATCGCAATCTATGGTTTTTTTACCACGGAATTACAGTTCTACACAGTAATATGGGCGATCATATACTATTTTATGACAGGATTAGGAATTACAGCAGGTTCGTTACCTTTCTCACCACATTCGAAATTTTCCAAGCCTTTCGAAAAACCAGCGGACGAGCATCAACATCATATCATGGACCTCCACATTTTCATTGGTTATCCTGCGGATTAGATTTTGCTTTAAAAGGAAATATTAAAGATATCGATTTTTTTTTTTTAGGTTATCACAGGCTGTGGGCTCATCGTTCGTACAAAGCTTCTCGCCCCTTTGAAATATTTTTGATTTTTATATCTTCCGGTGCGGTGGAAGGTTCAATTAGGTGGTGGTGCAGAGACCATCGAGCTCATCATCGATGGACTGACACGGAACGTGACCCTTATGATGCTCAAAAAGGACTTTTTTATTCGCATTTTGGCTGGATGATGTTAAAGCAAAACCCTAATAAAATAGGTCGAGCTGACATTTCGGACCTTAATGCTGATCCTTTAATAATGCTTCAGAATAAATATTATGGCGTATTTGCGGTTGTCATGGGGTTTATTTTACCAACTGTGGTTGCTGGACTTGGTTGGGGCGACTGGAGGGTAAGCAGAGAGAAGCCTTTTTTTTTTTTTTAGATCACATAAGGTTACTCAACTTTCTCGTGTCACCATATAATTTCTTAGGGTGGATTCTTCTTTGCCGCCATCAGTCGTCTCGTTTTCGTACACCACGCGACCTTCTGTGTTAATTCCATCGCCCACTACCTCGGCGACACTCCTTTTGACGATCGTCATAGTCCACGTGATCACTTCATAACAGCCATACTAAGTTTGGGCGAAGGCTACCATAACTTCCATCACGAATTTCCCATGGATTATCGAAATGCCATAAAATTTTATCAGTACGATCCAACAAAATGGTTGATTAAATTGCTTTCTTATTTCGGTCTAACAAAGCACCTAAAAAAATTCCCAGAAAATGAAATAAAGAAATGTCATTTGATAATGAAACAGAAAAAACTGGATGACGAGAAGGCAAAGTTAGACTGGGGGACACCGCTGAATCAACTCCCCATCTACACCTATGAAGAATGTAGGTATACTTTTTTTTTTTAAAAAAAAATTTTGATTGGCGCATACATACATATATACGTACATGTATATGCACATGTACATGCGTATGTCCATAATACATTCTCTCTCAGTAACACACATGTTTAAATCAGATGAGGAAAATGCCAAAAAAAACAACTGGATTTGCATTGAGGGGATCATTCATGATGTTACTGGTTTCATGGAAGATCATCCTGGTGGTAAATTGCTTCTCGCCACTGCTTTGGGAAAGGATATGACCACAGCATTCAATGGAGGAATTTACGATCACTCGAATGCCGCCCGAAATCTGATGTCCACCTTACGTATTGGCGTTATAGCGGGCGGAGGTGAGGTCATTAGTCGTAAAACCAAACAACACAATAACTTGAATTAGGTATCAGATGTAATAATAGAAGTTTGTATATACATGTATTTTCGGCATTCAATCCTCCATCTCATTATCTTTGTCAGTCATACCTGGATTGCAAATAAATTACACGATTAATTCTCGTACGATTCTAACTTTAACAATAATGTTTCAACCGGAGCATAGTGCGCACAAGATACGACCCGAATATCTTATCAAGAATTTGTTAAACGTTTCACCAAATCAGGCACCATCGATAAATGCGTTTAGTAATTAATTTATTCAATTCGACAATGCATAATTTTCCACTCATGCTCTTCTGTTAATTCGCCGTGAGAACAAACGCTTGCTCTTTCTCATGTTAAATATCAATATTCGTTGTGAGAACATTTGCTCTTTTTTTTTTTTTACATGAATAGAAATGATAATGGATTTGACGTTAACTTGGTTTACATGATTTTTAATTGAGGTATAAATTATAAATAAACAAAACATTGGTTTGTCACCACCATGTCTTCTATTTAGAAAATTTGATGGTTTTTTTTTGGAAAACTGTAAAAATTTTGTCCCTCATTGAAAGGTGATGGTCTCTCTTTTATATTCTATTTGATGAAATCACTGATTTCATTCATGCCAAAAAAAAAACCCCCAATTTTTTTTTTTTAATTATAGCAATTACATACACGTATATACAGCATTTTATAAATAGTATTAACCTTTTCTTTTTACCATAATAGGAAACCGGTTATTAATATATGTTACGTATTCAAATCGTCTCATTCGTCAATGGAGGCGAAATTAAAAAAAAAAAAAAATGTGTATTCAATATATTCAATATACATGTATACAATATACATATACCCAATATGCCCAGTATGTTTGCTGTGTCATATAATATTTTTGTTATGAATGAACAATCAAATAAAGAGAGACCCTTGTCTTCTGGAACCGGATTGTGTTTCATCCATCCAACGTTAATTTGCCCGTTGGGCCGTCCGTTGGAAACGCATTAGAGATATCTGCGACGAAACCTTATTTGGGAAATTAATTTAATTTAATTAAATTATTAAAAATCTTGTATTCCACATTTTTTTGCTAGGGTAAGTCTATCTCATTAGCTTATTAATTTGTTTATAAAAACAAAAAAGAAAAAAATAACGTTTAATCAAAGACTTAATCCGAGGGAAAAAAAATGAACTGTTCCAAAAGAAGTCAACCTCCCATTGGCTGGACTAGCTGGACTTGGCAAAAATATTTATGCTGCGTGAATTGACTAATTGTCATGCTCGTAAAAATACTCGTATTGTAGCACATCATTTTAAAATGCATCGACAATGTCCTACTCGTCGGTTTGGGACTTTGTATAAATTAAGATATGCAATGGCGACGTACAAGTGATACCGCTGACCTGCGCACTTACATATTGCACATGGTTTTCTCTTTTTGGTACTTATTTTCATTCTCTCGAAACTACTTGAAAACCCAAAGATTTTCGATTATCCCGTCTTCATATCATTTCGAATTCCCAAATTCCTCTAAAATCTACTACAATCGCCCTCCTATTCCCCTCCTTGCGAACTCTCCTTGTACATTCTCAATTTCTTTTTTTCCTGCCTCGCTTTGCCTCCACCTTGTATATATTTTTTAAACACCTCCTCTTGTTTCTATTCCAACCAATTAAAAATTGTATGTTACTATTCTCCCGTTTGACCACACTCCACCATGCCTGATGAGATTAGTTCGTCCTTAGACACCGAGGAAACGCCGCAATGTATGGGTTGCGGTCTTCCCATCGAAGAAGGCATCGCTTTCGGCGAAGGTATATGGCACGTCCAATGGTGGGTACCTTATATGTTTGGTTCTGAAAATTAGTTTCGCATGACCATGCACCTTTTTCTGTTTTCCCTCATTGACCACGCTCCCGCCATTCACCCGTTGCAAAAAAATAAATAGTTTTCGGTGTGCCAAATGTCGTAACCTGGTGGAACATGACTCCAACCTGTTCTTGTTATCCGACGGCAATCCAATATGCGAGAAATGCACGTACAATTGCTGTGTTTGCAAAAAGCCTATACTCGACGAGGCTATCATGACAGGTTAGATTAGAATCTATTGATCGTGGACTTGCGGAAGACTTAAATCGTGAATTTCCATTTTCTAATCTATCACGGTTAAAAATGATTGCTTGTTATTCGTTATCAGGAGAAGAGTCATTTCACGTTGAATGCTTTCGTTGCAGACAGTGTCGGTCGAAGATCGAAGACTTGGTGTTTGCCAAAACAAATCAGGCATCTATCTTCACTGATATCTGTTCATTTCACCCAAAGAAAACATTGTTCTCACACGGAATTTAATTAATCATTATCATTACTAAAGGGAATATATTGCATGACGTGTCACAATGAACGGGTTAATAGGGCAAGGCGAGCGAAAGAGAGAGAACAGGCAAGCCATCAAACTCCGATATTGGAAAAATCCCTGCCATCGTTGCCTGCTGAAGCCGGACTAAGGGTACATCATATTTAAAAATTTTCACATGCGTTCGTTTTAGAATTATCACAAGGTTGCGACCATGTCTAACGGATCGCACTCTTAACATTCCATTCCATTAACACAGCCAAACATGCTCGAAAATCCAAATAACTTTGTCCATCCGAAACGATCATTCGAACGTAACGCTACAGTCCCACTACCGTCCGACATCCCGTCGGAGGTTACGGATAATGTACCGAAAGCCCATACTCTTCCCGTATCTTCGAACTCGGGAATTAATCGTCGCCACTCGCGGTTGTTCGATCCATCGGTAGTCGACATGTTCAAACAAAAACCCACTTCTCCTACATCCAAGTCGCCCGAACAATTGATCAAATCCAACAACACTACACTCGAAAGATTTGATTCCTTGGGCGATAAGGGTAAAGCTCGCGTCGAACCTTTGGAATCTCCAAAGAAAACAAGCCTCTTCTCCAGGAGAAATGAATCGTCGGATAGCTTATCCAAGATGACACCTAGGAATCGGGAAATTATCGAAAACCATTCGAGAAATGCGTCGATCACGAGTTCACGGAGTGAACCTTATGATGGCTCCGGGCGTACCTTTTCACTCACCAGTCAGCGTAGTGACATATCTGACCTTTGGTCAAGAAAGTTGCCCACTTCGAGTACACATGAACGTGGCGAGGCGGACAACACGAACCGGAAACCGGGTTCCCTGTCGCGGAAATTAAAGCCGTCGGCCATTCAACAGAATCAGCAATCCTTGCCTCATATCGAGGAATATTCCATAAACTTTCAAGTCACTCCACCGTTACCTAGCGAAAATCCATCTTTGCTCCACACACGTTCGAATTCTCCTGCCACGCCACGTTCTAATTCCCCAATAAGTCCAAGATTTCCATCTTCTCCGGGCCACAAGGATCATCATGGTAATGGAGTATCGAATGTGGGCCCACCTGTGTTGCCTCCGTTGTCTTTTTTCAATGAAGAAGATGATGACGACTTGATTAGTTTGATGTCTGATGGAAAATCGGAAACCAATGACCAACAAAAAAAGCGTCAAACTTTGGTGGGCGAATTGCCGAGTGACGATAGTTCTAAATTGCAGAGTGGTTCTGTGACGCCTGATTTCATTGAGAACTCGTCTAACAGTTCTCTGTCACCGGACAGAAAGAACAGTCAATCATCATTAGCTTCTTTGTCCAGTCGGGAGAACGAGACGATGGAACTCGAGGATGTTCCGGTGGAAGAGCTGAGAAAGATGTTGATTGAAACGAGAAAGAAATTGACCGAGGCGGAAAGCAATTGCAGAAAGATCAAGGTATTCATGCGTAGCAATTTGAACAAAAATCCTTTGAAATGCTTCTTGTAACCATATAATGACATGTTTTGTATGCGTACACTTTGTTCTTCTCCAGAGAGCCAGTCAGAAGACGCTTGATGAATTCAGTTTGAAGAAGGAAGAATTTAATAATCAAGTTTCCTTACGCCAAAAGGCGGAGGTCACAATTGAACAGTTGAAGGTACAAATTGAACTTCAGAATCAGAAGCTAGAGGCCGCTAGATTAGATAGGGAACAGATTGAACAAATGATTCAGGATTCTCGAACGTCGAAACAACAATTGCAAGAATTACAAAATAGTCTGAAGGAAATGAATCTGCAAAAAGAAATGATGATAAGTGAAATCGAATTATTGGTCAGGGAACGGCAAGCAGGTCTTGCAGGGTAATTAAATGATCGCCGCGTTTTCGTTTATTGTCAGAATCATTTGTCAATCGTTAAACTTACCACATCTCAAATTAATGATTAACCAGAAACATCACACCAAACGTATCAAAAGATCTTCCGGGTTCTTTGGCCAAGCATTTGTCATCTCAATTCGATGAGGTTAAACAGAATTACCTTCTCGAGATCAGATCGCTTCAAGAAAAAAGGGACACATTGAAACAGGAAACAGAACAACTTCAACGCACCAGAGATCAGTATGTTGAGGAGGTGGAAAACCTGAACACCAAAAACTTGGAACTCACCGAGGTAAACAATGAACTGACACGCCAAGTGGAGTCACAAAACAAAGGCAAATCCGCAAATGGTTTCAACTTTTTCAAAAGTAATCGACACTCGCCCGGTCACAATCACACGCCCTCGGATGCTTCAGGTGCTAACCAAAAAGGACACGTCAAACAACCATCATTGCACACCATCGATTCTGATGTTCCCGATGGTGCACCGATTGTGTCTTTAACGAACGTCGCTCATCGTAATAGCATTGGACGGGGTGCAACGCCGAAGAAATTTAAGTGGAGAAAGGGTGGTAAAGTCCTAAACAAAATATTGGTGAACGCCAATGCAGTGACTGATGGGATCTTGGGGTCCCTGGGAGCGGGAACGGATGCGCATAAGAAGATGAATCAACAATTAAACCCTTCGCGAGCACACAATTGGCAGTCATTTTCGTTTTTGCGTCCCGTAAATTGCGAGAATTGTCATGAAAAAATATGGAGTGAAGTGAAATGTACAGGTATGAAGATATTGATGAGATTATTCCGTTAATATTAATCAGGCCCACCTTTCTGACTCGGCGCATCGATCATTTTCCAGGATGCAATATCACAGTTCACGCAAAATGCTCTAGCATGATTTCTCCCACGTGTGTCAGCAGTCGGGTATCGTTCGAAACCGATTCGGATACCGTTGTGAATGAAAATAACGTTTCGATCTTTGGAAATGACTTGGTAAAACAATCAGAATTGGAAGGAGACGAAATCCCGCTTGTGATGAGAAAATGTATTACGGCTGTCGAGGTTCGGGGTAAATATTAGACATTGTGAAACACGTACAGAATCTCGGCCCGTGGATAATTGATGTCTTATCGATTTTCTTTTTTTTTTTCAACAGGAATGGATCTCGAGGGCATATACCGAAAATCGGGTGGCGCATCACAGATGCGTGGAATAGTTACGGCTTTTGAAAATGGTGACGAGATTGACCTCGACGATCCAGACCAGTTCAATGATATATGTGCAGTCACCAGTGTTCTCAAACAATACCTGCGTGAATTACCAAATCCCTTGTTAACTTATGAATTATACCCCAACTTTTTGGAGTCAATTGGTATGTGTTGAATTGTAGCGAGCTTACGCGTTTCACGTGAACCATACAAGTAATGCTCTTGTTGTTTGCCCCCCAAAAAGGTTTGGAGAACGAAGAGGAGAAACTAGAAAAGTTCCGGCAACTCTTGCTTTGTCTTCCAAAAGCACATTATGATGCGATCAAGTACCTGATGTTGCATCTGGACAGGTGAGATTATCGTTCACTTAGAACTTTGTGATGAGATGGTGTGGCGTGAAAATTTGATTCTCAATGTTCTTCAATGATTAGGGTCAAACAACAAGAGGCCGAAAATCTTATGAGTGCCAAAAATCTTTCGGTCGTATTTGGTCCAACCTTACTTCGTGGACCAAATCCTAATACCGAAATTCTCGATATGACCTACAAGAACGCCACGATCGAATTTATCATCGAGAATGTTCATGAATTGTTTTCAGACACTTCCGACAGACGAAAAGACGGATTCATATAACGAAATTTTTATTTAACGAATTTTCCATTCGGTTAATTGGCTGATGTTGCAGTCAGCCAGCCAGAAAAATATCCTTTTACCCGAACCATTTTTCGTAGCGACGTTGGAAACAGAAGACTTGAAAACGTTTTGTTATTGACAAACATTCGCTTGTTATCTAGTGTAAAAAGGATTTTTATTTCTTTATACATTGTATTCTATTCACCTTTCTGGAAATCGCATTTTTTTTTTTTTTTCGAAAAGTAGTATATTCATAATAGTCTTCAATATACATATCTTTACTCATATTTTATTTTCACCTCATTCTATTATCTTGTTGATAATTCTTCTGTATATTTTTTTTCTTTTAGATTATTCAAAAAAAAAAAGAAAAGAAAAAAAAAAACAAGTCTAGAAAACATCTTTATAAGGATAGAGATTATGTGTAGTATTAATATCTGTGAAAGTGACTTTTTTTACAATGTTTAAATTCCTGGTAATTCATTCAGATGTAATTAAATAGACCGCTATAGAGAGAATGAAACCTGAGATTTTTTTAGTTATTTCAAAATTTCTCTATTCCGTCTATTGAGTACTCGTCACGATTCTATTTCACAAACGACACCTGGATTGTATATTATTTTTTAAAATGCAGTATATATTTCAATCATGTTATTTATTCTTTAAATAATATCATCAAACTTAATTTAAAAAAAAAATTATAAATTTCATATTATTTATACATATGTACTATATGTACTGTATGTATATACACAGTATACATCACTTTACCTTGGTCTGATATGTACTGTGTGTAATATAAATTGAATAATACTATGCTCCGGACAATAATTAAGTACATGCATTAAGGAAGCTGTTTTGGATTTCTACCTATAGATAATTGTTTCGTAAACGGTCACCAGAATTCTTTTATGCGTAAAATAGGATAGTCCAACCGAGTATATCACCTGAGGGTTCTCTTCCAGTGTTTGTACTTAATCAGATCTCTTGATCTTTCAATGCCATGTGAATTATATATAAATTGAAAAAAAAAAAGCGACACTCGACAGAAGTAAATAAACATATAAAGGAAACAAGAAAATTGTGTTTGGCGAGTTACCTCACGAGTCTTTACTATTTTTTTCGTCATATTTATTTTTCAATTATATAGTAAATATTCAATATATGAAAAAAGAATTTTGATAAAAATTTAAAGTATATAAAAATATTGTCTTTTTAAAACTTAAATAAATAAATAGATAGCTAAATGCATATGAATGCCAAGTCTTTATTGTTATATGTATAATATCAGAGTACAGAGAACCCTCCCTAAATGCACCCTCTCTAAATGCACACCTTCTCTAAATGCACTCTTTTTTATAGTCCCAAGT